GAGAGAGAGAGAGCGAGAGAGAGAAGGGAAGGCAATGTGCATTAGGGCGATTACAATATCAGCCGACTCCAGATGGAGGCAGGAAAATAAACAGTGGAAGAGAAAGAGAGAGAGAGCAAGGGAGAGGGAGCGAGAGCAAGGGGACAGACATCATGACAAGAAGCCTAAGAGAGAGGTTCTATATGTGTGCATTTGTTTGTGTGGAGGTCTGTCTGTGAGCGATACAGTTAGAGAAAGTAGAGTTAATTAGCAACTCAATCCGCATCTGTATACAGAGGACTGAGGAAGCGCTCTGCATGTGTGACAGTGTGTGGGTTTATATTGTCCTGGACGTGTCTATTTTGAGTGTGTACTTTAAGCCCCAGAAACCTGAGTGCAATAGATACAGCTAACCGTTTACCCTAAACATATGAAAAAACTACATCTCCCATGACACGGCTGCTTTTAGATTTGCTCTGGAACCAATCTATTATCAGTTCTGGCTAAGTGAAAAAGTAAGTTAAAATAATAATAAAAAAAAATGCTAGAAAGGTAAAAATCCTCCATGAAAAATTATGAACTGTGAGGCCCTTCCCTGTCGGCCTCTTCTTCACTTGACCTATAAGTCTTATGTTATCCAGAGTAAAAACACGAACAAGGCCAATAAAATCAGTTTGTGGCGCTCACCGTTCACTTTGACATTAAATCAGACCCTGTAAAGGCCATCTCACAGCTACAATAAAACAAAGACCTCTTGCTTCTGTAAGCACAAGAGAGTGTGGACACACAAGCGCCGCGTATACAATGCAAACGGACACACACGCACGCACACACAAACACACCTACCTGCAAGTCCTTTTTATACCACCGCTGCTCTTTCATGGGCGATGAAATTCAATAAGCAGTGAGGAGAACTGCCCTCTCACTGATAACCATCAATGGGGTTATCGATCTCCAAAAGCATTCATGCGTATGTGCATGCCCATGCACGTGCACGCACACTATAATTCACTCTGGGACTTGATAACAGACAGCTCTGAATAATCAGAAGAGATCTATACATCTTAAAGGAGTGCATGCAACACTGATTTTAGTATCCGGTTCGGCAGCTGATAGTTGCCCCCTGACTGCATTGCTTCAGTTCCAATCTGTGTCCAAGGCTCCACCATCTCGATCTTTATACACATTTCTGCAGTAACGGCAGCTGTGGTAAATGTGCACCAAAACCCAGTGAAAAGAATGACGAATACTGTAAAGTTTTTATGTTGTTCGTGGAGTTAGATAAGAACAGACCTTCTAGATTGACACAGCAGTTATGTGAAAATCCCAAGTAGTAGTAGCGCCAGGAAAGCCCACTTATTCTAAGCACTGAATTATACAATAAACAAACAACCAAAAATCTTTGAGAGCATACATAATTTAGAGCATATACTGTAGGCTGTATACAAACGAGGGAGCTTGTGTTAAGTTCTGTATACTAGAATCTGGCTCTGATAGAGCCAATTGAGAATGCCGAAAAAATTACAGGTGATCCGGGTTGCGCTGCTTTTGAAGTGGATTGTATTAAACCTGAGACAGTTAGCATATGAACTGTGTTGAGTCATCATCACTTATTCACCGTATAGCAAACCTGGACTGCATCCAAACGTCTGTGTGACACACTTAAAAGAAGTGCTTTGTAACTACATCGCAGCACTGGAGTCTCAGTGTAACTCTGTGCGAGACAGGAAAAAAATCTCTCTCTCTTTTTAAAAGCAGTAATTCATTGTTTGTTGCTGTGATTTAAATATGCAGTATAAATTGCTAGGAAGCTATTACCAGCGCTTAACATGAAAAAACAGGGGAAACAGTGAAACCAAAGAGTGTGTGTGCATATGTGTGTGTGTGTGTACGATATCTATGCCACATTGTGAAAGTGTGCATGTGACACACACAGCCTTTCTCAGCATCACTTGTTCAATCTGCCAACCAGAGGTACGTCTACGTGTGATTCTCTGGCTGTGTGTGAAGGCGAGAATAAAATGGCTGCCATCATTTTTTGCAAGGCCGTCCATGTGTGTGAGCAGCGGTCTGATGCATTTGACCCTATAGCCTAAGAGCTGGGAGGAGGAGAAGGAGGAGGAGGAAGGAAGGAAGGAGGAGGAGGGAGAACAGGTGTGAGGCAGGCTGGTGGCTGGGCAGATGGCCCCTGGAAGTGCAATGCTGGGGAGCATGGACCGCAGAGACTTAGCAGCTATCGTTAATACAAGCCTGTTTATACAGTGCACACACATGCAGCACGCACTCACACATGTCCAATCACGTGCGCGCACACACAAACGCAGAGATAACCTGCAAACAGCACTTATCATTTACTCTCCCCTCATCAGCAGCTTTGTTTACCTTTCATTTACCCCCCCCCCTCTTTATCTCTGTAAACACACACACTCCAGGTAATGGTCTTTTCAGTCAAGTCACTACTATAATGGAAGTCCCAGTGTTAAAAGGATGGGAAACAAACAACTGATGGCATAATAAATGACAGCCAGAACAACCACATCACCTGGCATCGCCACTGCAGTAAATTATTAGACTAAGCAGGGATTTAAAAGAAAGAAAGACAGAATGAAAAATAATCCTGAATCTTCATTTCAATGACTTAAAAGACTCACAGACACAGGATACACCTGCATCATGATATCCCAATAAAATATCTCTTTGAGAGGAGCATTTTTAAACTGCTGCCATACTTTGTTTTCTTGTTGATCAGTATATATCAGTGCCTCTTGCTCATTCTGTACCCGGTCGCCCTTATTTAACTCATCTAAAGCCACCCCTGCTCTGTTTCATGCCTTTGACAGGACTTAACAAGAGCTCTCTTGGACGTCTACAAATGTGTACGATGCTGTGTGGGGAGCATTTGGTATGCCTAAAAAATGTCCAAAGCCCTATGGTTTTCCAGAAGATATTTTCCTCTCTCTCTAATCTGAGCCGTGAGAACAGTCGGGCATCGACAGCATGTTGTGCCATAGCAGCCTCCCTCCCTAACCCGCATGTCTGTTCTTTTCCCAGTCGGGGGAAAAGATTCCCACTGGAGTAAATATAGCCCAAAGCCTTTAATTTCAACCCTATGCCACTCCATTAAAAGAAGGGGGGGAAGGAATCCGTTTTCCGTTCTTGGAGATTTTCGGTTATGTGATGATGACAAAGTCGCAGCGGGTGGAGAAGGAAACTTCACATGGGTTTGAGAAGATGCGTTTGAGAGTTGTGTCAGCGCTCCGGATGATGTTTCCTTTTTTTTCTTTTTTCTTTTTTGTACTTCAAATTCAAAGTCTGAAATGCAAAGTCTCTAGAAATGCTTTCTAGGACTCCCAGGCAAAGATTAGAAGAAGCAGCTCTACACTGAACAGAACTGAGAGGCTCAGGCTGAGTTCAAAATCCTCACGCAAAAGTAAAACAAACAACCCCCCCTCCCCCCCAAAAAAACATAAAGTAGTCAGTAGTAGGATTATTGTTGACTACTTGCAGGAAATATTTGTAATATTTGTCTCCGTTTCTGCAGTGAGAATAATAAAAATTGTGACTTTTTATTTTTTAAACTCCCAAGACGTTGTGTAATGTCTTTCGAAGATCACCACTTAATGTGAAGATTGCTCCACCTGAAACGAAGGTGATGACGAGACTTGGTCCGTAAACTTAAGTTGCCTGTTGCCCCAGAACAGCTGCGCATCTTGGGCACAAGCTCTTGAACTGGGAGCTGTTTTTTTTATTAAGACAGCAGCATGCTGGTTAAACAAACTAGAAAGCCAACTGTCTTCATTAATTACATTTCTAGATAATTAGCAGGCAATAGACGGAGTATTTTCACTTTCTCTAATTTTTTTGAGCGATAAATGTAATGTGAGACACATCAGCGCTGATTGCTCGGTCTTTCTCTCCCATTAGAATGAAACACGATTATGCACAAAACAAACGCACCGTTTCTATGTGAAACAGATCTGCACATAATCTCGGACAATAAAAACATATTTCTCTAACAAAAAAGAAATGCACTCCCTGGCGATTATGTATTTATTGTATTATAATTTTTAGGGGGGTTTGGACTGCAGCGCAGTCTGCTTAATTTACATTAATATATAAATATATATCAAAGTAGAAATAAAACAAAATCTCAGTTAGGTGTGTTGAGTATTTTGTGATATATTTCGTAATTCGGGCGCACACGTGTGCATACGAAGTCACAAAACACTCCAATAAGGCGTGAATTGGGAAATATTAACATTATTATTAATAGAGAGAACACTTACACTGAAAAGAGGCAGAAATTCCCACCATGCGGCACGTCGATGTGAGAGGGCTAAATAATTTCCAGTCCTTTTGACTCCGCGCAAGGTCCCCTCGATGATCCGCCTGTATCGGGAAGACGAAAACTACAGTCCAGCCAGCTTTCAGGGGCTCTGGTGGTATACTCCCAGCAGCTCAGAAATGTGGTTCAAACTCCGACAAAAGAAAGAAAAAGGGCACCTCTCGGCTTGCAATAAGTGATCAGTCACTGGGGATATGCAGTGTGGGAGAATCGGGAATCTTGTAAAAAGCGCAGAGGCAAAGGAGGAGAGATGAGAAACAGATGCAGAGGGAGGATGCTGTACTGCGCAGGGGCACCCTGTCTGAGTTCTTCTTCTTCTTCTTCTTCTTCTTTTAAACCCGTCTTCTTACTTTCCTCCGAAATCCCTTAAGCGTCAGTTTCGATTCCGGAAAAAAAATCAGTTTTTATATGTGAGAAAAAAAATCATCCACACACCCTCGGACTCGGGCTCCTTGTGTTCTGCTTCTCCGTTGGCGTGGGGAAGAGGAGTAGCGACACTCTGCCTCCAGTCGGCGGTGCGCAGCAGAGCCAGGTGGCGATGGGCGGGACTGAAGTGCTGCTGAGGAGGGGAGCAGGAGGAGGAGGAGGTGGGGGCGACTGGGCAGCAGCCAGCATCTGTGTGCCCTAAACAGGTTGGAAAACGCAGTTTCCGGTCAGAAGTGTTTTCTTTAGTGTCTGTGGCATTAAAGGATTTTCACTTGAAGCGAGGTAGCCCCTAAAACTCCTTTCTAAAGTCCTTTAGTCATTACTGGATAGGTAGGTGATTTTCCAAGTCTGCCGTAATTTACATGCCAGTACATGTATATTCAACAGCATCATTAGCCATTGCAGTCACGATTAGCTTTCATAGTTCAGTTAAAGGGTAAGTCGGTCCAGTGTAGGCTACTCTTTTAAAAATATATCCCTGAGGCGTCATCCAAGTGCTTAAAATTCCGAGTTTTTGTTAGGATACCATGCTGAAAATACTTTGAATTTGTATTTTCAATTTGCATGTAAAATGTAACCCAAGTGAAAATGTCAGAATCTCAAAAAAACCAAAAATCTTGTTATATTGACGTGGAAAATGTTCTCTAATGCTACTAAATATAGTTCCACAGGTCTGACAGGGAAAAGGATTTTTTACTTAAACAGTGACAGAAACTTCCACATTAAAACTCTAGGTATGTTTCGACCAATGAGGAGAGCTCTCATGAATTTATGCACAAAGTAAATACCATATTTTTCTGCATTGTTTTTGCTTGTTGGAGGTTTGGCAGGTGCTCCTTTAACTGAGTCATCACTGAGCCGTCTTCTGCTGAAAGGGCACACAGCGAGGTATCAAAATGCAATTAACAGTAGGGGATAGAAACATGCATTCATTCTTCTTATCTTCTAAATAAATGATCTAGTTTTTTGTTTTTTAGTCTGGGGAGCCCTTTGACCACTGAACCACTTACACACACAGTTGAGTGTCATGGACCGAATCCAGCCAGCTGGGTGCTCGAGGACCTGGTTTACTATTGTGTGGATGTCTGAAGCCAAAAAAAAAAAAAAAAGTAGAGCTGTGTGAGCCATGTCTCCACTTTATGTACACTCTCTCTCTCTCGCTCTCTCTGTCTCTCTTTCACACACACACACATACACACTGCACCTCCATCTTTCTCTCAGCTGAAAAAGGCACAAGCTGGCTGGCCTGCAGTAACCTAAGGCAAACACTTTCCCGGGACCATCTGGAAATCATCTCACCCGCAGAGCCAGCGAAAGTACAGAGCAGAAGCTACGTTTACAACTCGGTGATAACAACCGGGCGACTTGAACTGCACGGTTGAACAAGTCATGCACCATTGCCTGTTCACAACATCTCATAAAGCATTCTGTTGTAATCATTTCCATTGTGTTTTATTTTATTCTGCAGTTTTTGTACACTTGTAGTCCTCTTCTATGCATCACTTAATTGGAGGACAGTGTGCTATGACGTGACAGTGTAATGTTGTGTTGTGTCACATTCTGATTTAGGTTGAAATCATGGGCCAGAAGTTACACTTGAATAACAAAATCTCATACTGTGTGTTTTTAATGGCAAACATCTGGATTTTGGAGCATCATCATAACTTACTACATTTGTCAGTTGTGTGCTGAATGTAAAGCATTTAGCGAATTGTTAATGTGAAGCTCGTGAATTCCTCAATGCAATCACTGTGTGGTAAAAATGATGCCATTAACGGCAATCGTTTGCAATAGTTTTTCTTTGAGTTTTTCTCTTTCTCACTTTTTTCTCTCTTCTTACTCTCATCTCTCACTTCTCATCTGCACCGTCTCAGGAGTGGGTTGTGATCTCAAAGGCAATATCGACAGATAGTGTCACTAGCACTCGTGCTGTACTTACATTTTTGCATCTAGGTCCTTTTGCAAGCTTCTGACAAAGGCAATGGGCCAAGACGAGTGATAGGATGTGCGAATAGATATGCTGAAGGTGAGGAATGGAAAGGTAAGGAAGTGATATTGAATGAAAATGAGACAGGAAAAGAAAATGAGACGTAAGTCACGATGACGGAAGGAGGTTCTGTTGTGAGCGCATAGCTGAATAAGATACACCAACGGTCAGAATAGGTGCAGAAGAAAGGTGCCCACTCGAGGTGAGCAACCTAATGTGGTCAGAAAAAGTGGCAGAGCTGTGAGGATGCTGTCACTCCTCGCCTATTTGTGTTCTCTAGTTTGCTCCCAGAGAGCAAGTTCTCTCATGACAATCACAGTGAAACATCTTGACAGCCGGAGGCACAAGGATAGGCGTTGAGGAAACCTGCAAGGGAAAAGAGAATAGGGCAATGATCCGTGTATGCGTGTGTGTGTCCTGTGATAATGGTGTGCGAGAGCAGGAAACACACAGTGCCTGTTTTTGCTGCAGGGGTTCCTGGAAGTCAGCCGCCCAACGTGATCGGCGACATACATAAACACACATGCACGCACACACATACACACACAGGATACCTCGCCTTTGAAAGGGAAAAACATGCTGCGTCTGATACATGTGGACACAGACAAGCAGACTTCCTGCATTTTCCCACCTACTGGGCGGCCACCTGTAACACAGTCACACACACACCCACAAACTCTTACAAACAAACACACTCAAACACATATAGGTGGGGACAAAGACAGAATGAAGCAGATATAAGCGGAGAGTTGACAGTAAACAAGTGCTATTCAAATCCCATTTATTAACTGGCATTTGATCAACAACGCCTGAAGCCAAGCAGGCCACCGTCAACATCATTAACATAGCTGCTGACAAAGGCAAGAGGATAAAAGGAAGACAACAAATTAAAAGAAAGTAGCTGACTTATTTAGACTTATTTGGATCATTAAGATAAACAGGGTGAGGGCCTTCTATACCATAAGGTTATATAATGGGATTATTATGTGAAAAGCAAGAATTCTCCTGAGAACATGGCTTTGCTTAATAAACACACAAATCGCAAGCA